TGAGAACCAGGAAGCATTGGACATCTGTCTCGTCCTAACTTCAATCAAAATGTAAAATGTTGGATACCAATTCAGGGGTCTGAAAATTAACCTCTGGTCGTGAAACCTAAATATCCTGAGTTTGATTTCCGATGAGATCTTGGATATCTACTGCTATGTATTCACATACAAAGACTGGATAAATGTCCAATGTTTCCTGATTTTTATAAAAATTTCTGACTAGTCAGTCGATGATGCAAACTATGATCTACAATCTACACAAAATCTCCTACACATATTTTTTTGATTTGGAAAATATGAAACTTGTTTAAATCGTCAGATTTCATTAGAATTGGTTGATTCAAACCTTAAATAAATTTGGAATTCTTTTTACATTTAACCATGAATTTAGCTTTTTCAATAAACTAAATGACAGTATCAAACCACTTTCTGCTCTTCAGATATATAAGCTTATATTTGATGACATTGAAATGACTGTTTTCCATTTATATCAAGATAAACTACAGCTTCTCTGCCTTTTTTATATTACATTTTGTGTACTTCTTCTAACATTAAGTTAATTAATAAAATATTATTATAAGAAAGTGCCATTTTCTTCACTCGTCTACACTTATGATATTTCTTCTCCTCTACTAGTTTTGTATGTATTAATATGAACAATCGTTCAGGTACACTGTTGATAGGATACAGTCTATGGACCAGTTTATATAATTTTGTAACAAGACTTCGTTCAAGAATGATTTATGCACTTGACTTTTACAGTTAGACCAAAGTCACAATAGTGCCGAGAGTGGAACGAATTAACAGAAGTTGCTATTGTTCCCACTATTCAATGACTTATCCCATTTACAACAGAATAACTTATAGTAACTAGCACATATCGTAAAAATTGATATTTCTTTTATTTAATGTCTTTTATAAACTAATTTTCACTCATTTGTAATCACTTTACTGAATACTCTTGAATCGAATACTGTTTATCGGAAATAAGTAGTATTTGAGAGGAAAATTTTTTTCAGTAAATTTATCATGAGACTCTACAACTATATTATCTATAAATTCACTTAGTATTGTTTGTTTGAATCTTCCCATTAATGTTTAGGACTGCAACTGATCAGTCTCTTGTTGGTATATGTACATACTGTGAGGATTTCCTCGATATTGCCTTAGCTCACAAGCATTATATACAAAGATGGATAGTGGCTAGTAGTGGAATCCAGAACGCGCATTTCGTCCTGCTTGGGACTCGTCAGCTGGATGTGAACATCAACTTTGAGGTGCAGGTACATCCAGCTGACGAGTCCCAAGCAGGACGAAATGTGCGTCCTGGATTCCACTGCTAGCCACTATCCATCTTTGCATATATATATATTATCTATAGTTATTGTATTACAAAGGCCTAAATAAAACATTTTAGGTAACATTATCAGTGCCTAATTTATGTAGCATCTCTCAAATTCAACCTTCTATATCTGGGAACACCATATTATCAGAAACATCCACCTGAGCTTCAAATCTTCTTTATCATTTCAAAACTCCTTCACTTTTATAAATAGGTAAATTACTGAAGTAAGTACCATTTCTAAGTTATGGATTTTTTGATAAATCAGTCTAACAAAAATAATAAATTTTTCGAGTTTTAAATACAAGTTCAAATAATCTCATCTGCCTACCAGTAAATATAAATTACATCAAGATAAACTTTAAGTACACTCCCCCAAATGACTCTTTTTTTTTAGCTGAACAACACTGACGACGATGAAATGTATATCATGTTTCCTTCGTATGCATTCTGTCAGTCAAACACATTGATACAATGTAGACCATAATTATCAAATACGAATTGTTCTAGGTTACTCGTATTCCAGACATGCTAATATTAAACAATAGTCAACACAATGAAAGATGAAGCAATGGTATAAGGGATTGTAATTCATTTATCAACCGACTCAGTGTATAGTGGATTGACACAATTTTTATTGGCATAATAGAAATAGGGGAAATAGATAGATACACATCTATATCATACACATATACAAAAAGTGCTCAAGGTTATACAAAAATAATTGACGGAGCCAAATATGTGAAAGAATAACTGGAATAAATCATGTGGCCCTCATGTTGAATATGTTTTTTTCTCTTAGTTCGTTTTCATTATTACTAATAAACAGTATATTATCAATCTATCATTACATTTTATGGACAACTGTGTTTGGTGTATAAATACGTTTGTATAACAAGGCAAGTTGTATTATGAATACTAGAGTATCTTAAACGTTGATCAAGTCATTATTAGTACACATTGACAAGGTGTACGTTCAACTTTTATCAATCTAATAATTTCATGGGAAATCAAATCTTTCTTATTTAGCGTTATTATAAGATAAATTAGTATTATACATCATATAACTAATTGAGCAAATTCAGTTTCGTGTACTCAACTATCCGGTGTCTTTTAAGTATAAAGTCAAATGTTGTATCATACAATTATGGAAACAGAATTAAAGTGAGAATTCTAAATTGATCTGGTGCATGAGAGCATGTATTCTCATCTACGATCTATTAATCATTGGTCTATTTGACTGGTAAAATTCAATAGACAAAGAGACATAAAACTTATTTCACTATTGAACCTCATATCATATTTTCCTAATTCAAATAATGTTAAGTAGAACAATCAAATATATAGTAGTTAAATGATATGGTTCTTTCTAGTTAATTAATCGCTTTAAAGATTATTGTTTATCATCGATCGGTATTAGTTAGAAAACATTAGATAATCGTTTATACGAATATGTGCCGACAATTGAAGGAATAATGGGTAAGAATTAGGGCGCCGAGTATATAAAAGACGGTATTTGTGAAAATTATATTCGAAATAATTTCAACGATTGAAATTTAAATAATTCCGACGTTACGTTCAGCAGATTTGTCTGGACTTCTTCAAGGTAATAATCAAAGTCACCAAATAAATATATAGTGTTTAACAATCAAATAAATCTTTACTGTGCTTATCCAATCATATTTAGATGTTGACTTTATTAAGTAGGATAAAATGAGTCAGTTATATGTGAATCAGTATAGGGTTGTGGAGATTGTTGAGTTTAAATTGATATCATGAATGGATGAATGTTAGTCCACCGTTGGATGCCGGCTCAGTGGTCTCGAGGTTAAGTGAGAGAAAGAAGAACCTGGATTTGAATCCTGTGTGTGGGATCGTGGATGCACTAGGACGAAACGGATGGCCAGTGCTTTCAGGTTGTCACTGGTGGTTTAACATTGATTCGTTCATTATATATGCAAATTATGTGAAAAGTTCACAATGTGAAGATAAATGAATGAACGATTGTGTGTGTATGTATGTGTAAGCTTGAGTTATTAATAGTTGATATTATATGTTAATTTGTCTTTACATGAAGTAAAAATAAAAGTACAAGTTGAAGGCTGAAATTGTTTCTGAATGATTGATGTGCACGTAAAATGAGAACCATCAAATACATAATTGCAATGCTAAAATATCCCAGATTATTTTTATCAGAATAACGATATTGTTTCGTGCTAAATTGGAAGGAGTTACCTATCGACCTAATCACTACATATCAGTCTGCTAACTGCTAAATATAAATATCCTCTAACTCCATCGTATATGGTTGACAGTGAACATTATTATTGAGAAGTCTTGAATTATGACAAAGTAGCTGGCACTAAATTCAATTATAGAAAACTGTTTTTCAAGCAAACTGTTGAATGTTTTCATTGATTAATTACTTAATAACAATCGATAAGAAATCCAATATCTGCTGTCAAATCAAAATGATTACATCACATTCCTTTGACCGAACATGCGATTACAAAACCTAGATGACATTGCTTAATTGAAGGTGCCAGATAGGGATGTAGAAGCGAAACTGTGAAGTTTTTATAAGTACCCTGAGTGGATTAGTATATATTTTTACGGTTTGCATTATTTTTACATTGCCCTGATTGTAAGTTATTAAATGTTGATGTATCCCTTAATGTTCATAAGTTACAATTAACTGATTACGTATCTGATATTTGGTTTCGTAACACACATAGTCTAGTTATGTACAGACAATGTTTTTATCAAAAGAGGAAAATGTTAATGGTTTCAGGTTTTCCATGGTGGTCTAGCTTCAATTGACTCATGATCTCAACTATAAAAATTACTATAATATCCACAAAACTCCTTCTGATATTAATCAACATATGCTCACTAGTGACTGGGTTCAAGAGGTATTTCATGGGGTTCTAGTGAGAAACAGTGACCAATGGTGTTCAACCGGGTCTGTTGTGAGATAGTAACTCACTGAAGACATTGATGGATTTGTCTCTCATTTTCATGGATTGTTTGAAGTTAGACATTAACACTGTTGGATGCCGGCCGGCTCAGTGGTCTAGTGGTTAAGCACTAGCACGCGAGACTGATATTTCCTGAGTTCGAATTTTGCGAGGCGGGATCGTGGATGCGCACTACTGAGGATTCCCACAATAGGACAAAACGGCCTTCCAGTGCTTCCAGGTTTTCCATGGTGGTCTAGCTTCAATTGACTTATGTTTCTATCACCAATGTTGTGTTGTGGTCATGTAATTATTGTACATTATCATATGATTTTTGAGTCAACATGTAATGTAATGTAATAACAGATGTGGTAAATCAACTTTCTGCCTTCATGTTTTGATTGGACATTCTGAATAAGGGGAACTTATTATAGGCCAATCATTATAAACATTTTAAATGAGGATTATTTTGTTAAACTGAGAGTCATTAGTACTATTGACCGTATAATAAACTTATCATCAATAGACCTAATGATTTACTGAGTATATCAAATGTCAGCTCATAATAAAAAGCTTAATATTTCAATAGGACTATTTACCCATAATTACAAATACTACTTTTTGATTACTTATATAAAGTTTTGCTTCTATACTCTAACTATTTTTTATTTATTTATTTATCATTTCTTTTCCCAATATAGAGATGGTTAAGACTTTTCGATACAAATGATAAAGGCATAATCACAATTGAAGATGTCAGTCGTACTCTGGGTGTACCACCTCCGAAATTTTATGAGTAAGTTATATACAATTTAATTTTTAAATATAGATTTTTCATAGGGTAAATGGATTGAATGATTATTTTATCTATCAATCTAAATAATAATAGTAATAATAAAGAGTTGAATATATAACACAAGTTAGCTTCTTGATGAATGTAACACTGTCAACTTTGTAATGTTTTCTGAAGATCTTTTCATACCATACAATGAATTTATAATTGAGTATATGTATATACATATATTCTAACTTGATTCATTTCTTTTTGGTATTGCTGATTTGATTACTGACTAAATTTGTTAGTTTAAAACTTCATAGAAGTAGTACTTTGTGACTGATTTAGCTTGACTAAATCGATAACATTAATCTACCAGATACAACAACGTTTGACTATAGGAAACATCTTGAAGTCAGTTACCGTTGAGAAGTTGCAAATAAAGAGGATTTAGGTATAACGAATGAGAAAGTTTCTTATTAATTATATTTTATAATTGTCATTGTATATCGTGAAATCACTGGAATTTGATATATCGATCATTGGATTGTAATTCAATGGCCTAAAATTAACTTGCTTTCCTGAAGCTCTTGGATTTTAGTCCTGATGTGATCATGAATGAATACTACCAATGAGCTAATTATGAGAATGAAACAGCTATTCAGTTCTTTCTGATTTGCAAAGGTTACTTAGCTTATATCATCATTATGTGTGACCAGATTGTTCGAAATGTATAACGCTAATACATCACATTTTTCAGATCAACTCCGTCTTCTCATTGTTTTATATTCTCATTATTTTATTCATAAGATCATCTTCTTAATTCTGTTTGCATCTCTATGATCATTAATCATTATAATCTCATGATATTCACTAATAAATAAAATCCCATATTTTCATTGACCATACGTCAAAATGACAATTTTCACTATATTGAAATGTTCCTATTAAAATTTACTAAAATGTACTATTATTAGATAGATTACAAATATGTTACTAATGCATGAACAGTAATCACATTATAAGCAAAGATGGATAGTGGCTAGTAGTGGAATCCAGGATGCGCGTTTCGTCCTGTTTGGGACTCGTCAGCTGGAAGTGAATTAAACTTTACCCCATTGCACAAGCAAGTGGCTATCAGGACTCAGTAGCTAAGTGGATAACGCGATGGCATTTGAAGCGAACGGTACTGAGTACGAGTCCCAGAGTGAACATCAACTCTGAGATGCACATACATCCCAAACAGGACGAAACGCGTGTCCTGGATTCCACTGCTAGCCACTATCCATCTTTGTTTATAATGCTTGTAAATTAAGGCAATATCAAGGCATATGCCAATAAGAGACTGATCAATTTCAGTCCTAAAACGTCAATAGGAAGATTCAAGTAAAACAATATCAAGTGAAGTAATCACATTATTTTAAGTGTAAAATTATTAGATTAGTGTTCATTAGATGACAAAGTATTGTATAAGTATTCTTAACCTTTTTATTTCATAAAGGTTATAAAAAAGTTTACGAATACATGAGCGATAATCGCATTTGGATAATTAATCTCTAACGAATATCTAAATTCATTTGACATTAATAATTGCTACATCACTTGACCTTTGCCATAGAAATAAGAGATGGAAACAAAATAATGTAAATCAAATTGTGGGTGACCCTGAAAAGGGCCTTAACTCGGTTTCTTTCTTATGAATGTAGATTTTGCTGTCGGAGGGCGTAAGTTGATAGAAGGTTACTGGACTGTTGTTCGTGAGAATGTGCATCACAATCACGAGTACAATTCCCTGAGATACCAAAGTAACTAATGGGTGAGCAGGTTAACGGAGGCAGAGTTTGAAACTGTGCGACCACTCCTGATATCTGGTACCGCAGCATTCGACATTAAGCATTTTGCTTACCATTCTTATGGAAAACGTTTGAGTGATCAAGATATATTTAATATGCGGTACAAAGTGTTCTCACACGCCAACCTTCCTGGTAAGCAATCTGCCTATTTATAATGTAAACGATAAGCGATTACGGCACTTTGTACCGCATATTAAATATATCTTGATCACTCAAACGTTTTCCATAAGAATGGTAAGCAAAATGCTTAATGTCGAATGCTGCGGTACCAGATATCAGGAGTGGTCGCACAGTTTCAAACTCTGCCTCCGTTAACCTGCTCACCCATTAGTTACTTTGGTATCTCAGGGAATTGTACTCGTGATTGTGATGCACATTCTCACGAACAACAGTCCAGTAACCTTCTACCAACTTACAAAACATGAAGGCCGGACACTGGGTGTTCATGGAAGCCCTTCGTGAAAATAAATGTAATAACACTAATCAAATTACCTCCTCCGTCTAATCCGCTGTGACGAACCGCTAGATCTTCTACGGCCATTTCTCCAAAATACAAATTTCATATACGAGTTCTGATCTCTGTCCAAATGAGAATCTCTCACAACATAATCACAGTACATAGATCTTTCATAAGTTCCGATAGCGGACTTTAACGCTTCAACTGATTGGAACGCTATGAGAAACAATGTAGTAAAAAATACATTCTCCGTTTCTGTGACAACGTGAGAAACAACAACGCTTGTACATGGCACGTTAATCTCCTCCATAATGATGATTAAAATGTACTTTGTCGACAAGTACTGACATTTTATAACAATTTCAAGACATAACTAACCAATTAGAACGAATTTAAAACTAGCAATTTAATTGGACGAAAAGGGATGAAAAAACTTTTTTAAAGGGGTGAAAAAATTACAAAAATAGCCGGTCGCTTAATGATATTCCATTTGTGATTAGAGCGTGATGATAGGAAAGCATTTGTATAATCTACTGATCGTTAACCGGTACATCGTTTGGCTTCTGAAGGTTCTCACATATCCCCCATTAAGAAACTTGTAGAATATCTAGAAACAGTAGAAAACCTTTACCTAATTGGCCCGCAAATGCGATGGTACGACCGAGGGTGGAGAAAGTCAGCTATCCCTCTCGAAATGCTCTCACATAGCCACTTACATACAAACACTGTTAGGGAAGTTCTATACACTGCCTACTCGTGGGGGAGGTATTGGTTACGAAATCGAGAGGACGAAAAGCGAATGTCCGGCGCTCTAACTGGGTTGGTGGTGGGTATGGAGAGTCCACCTAGGGGAGTTAGAAAACCCTGATTCCAAACCAATGGTGTACATGGGCTCCAATATCCTAAAGGAACAAACGGCGTATGAACCAATCGTTGATCACCGGCTACCATGGGACTGCATCTCCTTACGTTGCTCCATTGCCTTGTGGATCAGACCCTTATGTCAAGAACTCCAGGAGTGACCCCTTAAGAAAACCACCTGCTTCAGTCAGGGCACTTGGGGAGTATCAAAGCCCACACACAAATCAAGTGACTTGTGTGGCGCATATGTATTCGGTGCCACTTTGTACTAATATATGTGTTCAAATAATTAAATAAACTAATGACAAATCTGGAAATAACAAATCGTATGACAATGATGTGTGAATCAAACAAAATGAAGACATAAAAATGTAACAGTTCACGCGTCTGCTAATTATACAGTAAAAATATAAATAATAATCCTTTGTATGATTTTCTCACAAGTTATACTACCGCTCTACTCACCCCATTACGTCAATAATAATAACAGTAATAATAATACCGAACTAGATTAGAATTATACGTATGTTTAAAAGTGTAAGCTGTTTAAATCCCAGTGACTAATGAAACGAATCTGGTTCCTTAATATGCACCTACTAGCTCATGAATTTAACATCCTGGATGTTTCAATAGGATTTTATTAGATGATTCGATGATATTATTGGAATATCATCCAAACAATAGTAAAAGTTGTTCCTAAAATATGTTGAAAGTAATAATGAGATTGACCAGAGTGTAAAGTTGAATACGTTTATTCTAGAATAATATTAAAACTTTCATAGAAAACCTGGTGCTTTTTCTTAATTGAATGTATTTTAATAAATAATCTAGATGACAATTCATCTAGCTTGATACTGATATGATAGAGGAATGGACCTAATATGTTAAAGTATTACATACAACTGAATTGTTAGATGTTTTCTCATATTTGTATTTCTTTTCGTAAGTGTTACTTGAAGGTATAGGGACGTCTTACTAACTATATACGATTATAACGGTGTTCGCGGTGTCGTTCCCACTATTAAATTTCATACACATTAAGTCGAATTATTAAAATCCGATATGTTATTATCTATATAACTCAGTGTTATATCTTGTTAATTAAGATTAGATACAGGTCCAAAGCAGCTTTTACTTACAGAACGACTGAGAGTTTCACGGTCGAACTCGACAAAACAAGTGACATACAATAGTCCTTCAAAACTAATTATTCACACCTTAATATGAGATAGAGAAGACAATAAATTCAGGATATTTTGGCATTTGAAACAGAAGTCAGAGATTGAAATAGAACAGCTCTGCTACTATAGTAAGACACCATGAATAATTTTAAGATACAACAAAATTACTAAACTAAATATTACAGTAGTCACTCAGATAAAAGTTAAGGTTCCTGTGAAGATATGTATCAGAACTATATCTTCAAGGTTATCTTTTCAACAAAGAACCAACATGCATTAACAAATACAGAATAACTTAAGATCTCATCAGTATCGATTTACAAAGTACAGAGCTGTGTGCTTACCTTTAAATTACACCTGTTACTCCCAATGGAGCATAGGCTGCCGACCAACATTCTCCAACCCCCTCTGTCCTGGGCCTTCTTTTCTAGTTCCATCCAATTTTTTGTTCATTCTTCTCATGTCTATCTCCATTTCCCGACGTAATGTGTTCTTTGGTCTTCCACTTTTCTCTTGGCATTGAGGATTTCATGTGAGGGCTCGCCTTATGACACAGTTGGGTGCTTCCCTCAATGTGTGTCCTATCCACTTCCAGCGCTTCTTCCTTATTTCTTCCTCCGCCGGAATCTGGTTTATTCTCTCCCATAGTAGGTTGTTACTGATATTGTC